TTTACCTGTCTACTTACATACAATATGCATTTACTAGCTCTTCCCCACACACTCTAAATCCTTCCATCTCCCTAAATGGTATGTTTCTTGATTGTATTTCTAGATAATCTAACTTAAACTCAGAAATCTAAATATTCAAAATTAGAATCTCATATGACAGAGAACATACAGTGTTTGTTTTTCTGTGTTTGAGTTACTTCATTCAATATAATATTTCCAATTCCACTAATTTTCCTGTAAGTTTCAGATTCTTTAAAGTTGAGTACAATTATATTGTGTATATGTACCACATTTTCATAGTTCATTACTGTGCTCTGGGAAATCTTATATTAAGATATTTGTTAAGAAGAAAAAAAGATTAATGGAAAAAGCCACCATGCTATGATGAGAAGATGCAATATGGAAATAATAAAACAATAATGATTTCCAAACCATATGTATGACCTAGGAGTTCCCTGTCCTGGCTAATTTGAGCAATGTATCCTTTCTTGCCAATCAAAGGGTCCCTTTCAGAGAAAAGCCTTGTTTCTTGAAATTCCATTTCCAATTACCTATTACATACCTGACATTCTAATATCTTCTACTTTATCTCATTCATTTTCATTTGTTTTCTTATTCTTTGCACTTGGTTTAGTTGTTTTGTATTAGCTTTTATTTTTTCTGAATATGTGTGGTCTTAACTGCCTTTCCTTTTTCAGCATTTACTCTATAACATTTTCTTTATAATGTCTCAGAATTCTAGCTCTTATACTTTCTCTTCTTACTGCATAGTTTTTAATACCCTTCTCTAAAAATACTATGTAGTATCTTCAGTCAGTACCCTAGAGTCGTTCTCTCTTACCCTTATTGGGGAAGCATCCACAGTGCCTTCTACTGTAAGCTAAACCCTGATCTCCATATTTTTTGAAGCAGTCTGCACATCCCTCTAGACAGTAATGAGTCACAAATGTCCAAGTGACAACTCACCAGTGAATGAAAATGAGGACATGATGGCTCCAAGGTTTGGCTGAGCAGAATGTTTTTATTGTATATACAAGGGAGGGTACAGCCAGAGATGTCTAGAGGAGTTCAGAGCAGTGAGAGAAAGCAGTAGACTGAACTAGGACATGAGAGGAAAGAAGAGAGTGGGTGGCTGAAATTGCTGTTTTATATGGGAATCACGAAGCAAAGCTCAGAGGCTGGAGGGGGTTAAGGAAGGTGGTGGGGATGAGAAAATCTGAGAACTTGTGATGCTGAGAGACCCAGGTGGCCAGAGTCTGCTTTGGTATGTTGACAGGTTACCTCAGTCATTTGTCCTGAGATTCTTTGGGACATAACTCTTAAGTCTCAAACTCAAAATGGCTAACTGAGGTGCCTATCTAATGTATCCAAATGGATTCTGGAAGCCAGTCTCCCTCAGTCCCTACTCACAAGTACCAGGTACAGAGTTATCCTGGCTGGCGTACCCCACCCTCTACCCTAAACCCCCAGTCTCAAACTCCCGACAAAAGGATTACTCTAACAACCAGAAAGACTTACAAAAAATAGTCTAGAAAAAGTAGAGAAGACATAAATATAAATGCTGGAAGACACATATATCTCAAAGATGTGCATAACATGATAAAGAAGCATAACACACACACACACACAGTAGGAAGATACACATTGTCATGATTCCTCCCTAATTTCACAGTTTCCTTATACTATAATCTAGAGATAATGAAATGCCAGAAAAATAACTAAAAATCCTATTTAAAAAGGATAAGTGATCAAATAGACAACTCAACTAAATAGATAAATGAATGATACCAATTTAGACTCTATAAGAAACTTATCAATGTGGATGAACCAATGGAAAGTTTAGAAGATATATTAAAATGCACGAGGGAAACATTTAGCAAGAGAGATGCCTCAGAGGTTAAGAACACTGGCTGCTCTTTGGGAGGTCCTGAGTTCAATTCCCAGAAACCACATGGTGGCTCACAACCATCTGTAATGAGATCTGGTGCCCTCTTCTGGCCTGCAGAAAATGCATGGAGGCAGAGTGCTGTATACATAATAAATAAATAAATAATTAAATAAATAATTAAATAAATAAAATCTTTAAAAAAAAGAAACTTATCAATGTGGATGAACCAATGGAAAGTTTAGAAGATATATTAAAACGCATGAGGGAAACATTTAGCAAGGAAATTGAGATGTTAAAGACAGCAACAACTAAAATGGTAAACAATGAAGAGTCAGGTAATCAAAGAAAACAAGCAAGGCACAACAACAAAACCAAACAGTGGAGCGCATCACCCACAGCTGAGAACAAAAGAAAAGAAACAAAAGGAAGATGGTCAGGGAATGAAGATAAAAATCAAGATACACATGTACAAAGAAAAGAAATGAATATGTCCAAAACTTTCAGTAACTATGGGACACATTCAGACATCAAACCTAAGAGTCTACAAGGCAAAGAAGTGAAAAGTTTCTGTACCCCCATAAGCCTCTCTGCTGATGCAGCAATCCAAATCAGACCAAATCAAACCGAATTAGGAAAAGCCAATGCTTAATGGAAACAACACTCCCGGATATCATTCCAGTCCCCCAGAGAGGAGATGGGAGAGAGAGACCTGGAAACCATGCATCTGCTTTCTGGGGGACAGTTTAAATACCTTATGGGAGTGGTCCTGAGCATCTCTGAGGGAGGGGTTATCATTTGGCAGGCTTTCTGAGATGTAGCAGGGTTTGGAGGAAGATAGGGTAAAGGGGATTGGTTGGAAATTCCATCATAACATTCCAGACTCGTTGGGTATATGGATGCCAGTGACTGGGATGAAGCTTTTACCATAACAATAAGGAGCTGAAATAAAGAATAATATCATATTATCATGAAATCATCACAGAACATTTGCCAAACCAACAAAGGAAACTACAGAAGACAACACCAGAGAAAACTTTTCTATGACATATCATACTCAAGTTTTCAAAAATACAAATAAATTAAACAACATTAATGATAGAAAGAAAATACCAATTCCCATACAAAGGCAGAAGTATCAGAATAAGTCGCATCTGTGATAATCAAGCCTAAAATGCAAGAAGGCATGGGATGTGTACTTCAAGATTGAAAAGAAAATAGTTAACCAAGTTGCTATTTCCAGCAAAGTTGTCTTTTAAAATGGATGAAAGAACAAGAATTTCAAGAAAAAACACGGATTAAAACAATTAATGACAACCAAGTCAGCACTGCAGGAAGTATTTAAAGGAATATTATACACAGAGGAATAATAAAACCAATACAATCCTTAATATGGCAGAAAAGAATGTATTTCACAAGAAGGTAAACGAACAAACCACTGACAATAACAGGGAAAGATAAAAATAACTAGTAATTCAACCAAATAGTAGGAAACCATGGGAAAGAACTAAGACCTCTCAACTATAATTTTAAATGAAAATGATGTAAACACAGCAATTAAAAGATGTAGACTAACTGAATGGATAAAAAACTAAACAAAAGAAAAAAACAACAATTGAGGAAAAGAAGACCAAATACTTCTTGTCTCTAAGAAATGCTGCAGAAACACCCAAAACGCGAGGGTCAAAGGACAGAAATGAACCTACCAAGCAGATGGAAGCTGTAAATATGCTGACATTTAGAGTCCTAAAAAACTAGAAATTGAAAGAGCGTGACTGTATACAATAAAACTATGTGCAGTAAACTTACAGCTGGTATTATACCTGATGTGCAAGTATTGAAAGTATTTCTTTTAAATCTGAAGCAGAAGATTGCTTACTTCCTCCACTTTTATTTGACATGATGCTTCCAATTTTAGTCAGATCAAGAAGACAAAAGAAATAGGAGGGAAGCCGGGCGGTGGTGGCGCACACCTTTAATCCTAGCACTAGGGAGGCAGAGGCAGGTGGATCTCTGTGAGTTCGAGGCCGGCCTGGACTGATAGCCTCCAAAACAATACAGAGAAACCCTGTCTCGTAAAAACAAAAAACAAAACAAAACAAAAAAAGAAATAGGAGGGATAGAGGTAGGAAAGGAAGAAGCAAATTTATCACTTTTAGTGTGGACCTATTTAACCATCCTAAAAATTCTCCCAGAATGTTCTTAGAGCTGATAAAATCTTTCAGCAAAGTAGAAAGGTACAAAGCCATACAAAACTCAATGACTTTATGAATAGTAGTTCAAATTTTCTAATTAAAAAAAAAAACACGTACCCAAAGACGTCTAAATAATGTACAGGAATAAACTTAATCAAGGAAATGAATGGTCTTTACAATGAATACTTTAAGAAGTCAAAGAAAGAAATTGAAATAGACACTAGATGATGGACAAACATCCTGTGTTTTGAATTGGCAGAATCAATATTGTAAAAATGTCTGTGTTATCACACACAGTCTTGCTGAGTTGACACAGGTTCCATCCATCTTCCAAGAGCTTCTTCACAGAAGTAGAAAAACAATCTTAAAACTCATATAGAAGCAAAAAATGTTCCAGAATAGGTGAAGGCAGGATTTGAACCTTATCTTCAGTTAAGCAGCCCTAATTTGAAAGAAGAGTATGGAAGCATCACAATTATACATTACAATACATCATCCTGAATTGTACTGCAGAGCTTTGGTGATGAAAACCAGCACACAAACAGGTGGTAGACCAAGATACAGAAGACCAGAAAATAAATCAAGATACAGACAAGTCAGTGTTGATCAAGATGTCAAAAAATACACACTGAACAAAAAAGTCTCTTCAACAAACACTTCTAGGTGAACTAGATATCCATACTTTGTAGGAGGAAACAGTCTCCTCCATTAACCATGTGACTTAGTAGAGGTGCATAAAGATGAGGTAATAAAAGGGCAGTTTACCGCATCGCTAACCACACCCACTTTAGGCATGACCAAAGACATATACGGACATAGGCGGTGAACTATGTCACTAGCCAGGCCCACTTTTGGGCATGGTTAGGGGTGTTACGGAGGAAGGTATAAAAGACTGAACAGCGGAAGTCTCGTTCTCTTTCCCGGCTTTCTGGCTTCCAGTTCAGCGATGGAAAACTAGTCAGCTTATCTGGGTTACTTGTTTGTTTCTTGTGGGTAATTTCTACAATAAATACTTACTTTTACTTTCAGTAAGTGTGTCGTTTATCATTGCAGCATCATTTTGGTGTCAGAAGTTCCAGAACCTGGATCCAGGCACCTAGAAAGCGGCTGCTCCTCGGCCCAACCACCGCCGGCCCCAGGCACACATGGGCTCTCCTTTCGCTAAGTTACCCACCACTTCGTTCAGCAAGGCACAATTCCCACCACCGGGAACCAGTACCTTCAACCTGCTGGTAAGGTTAAGTTGTATTCCGAGATTTCTCTTGCAGCCACTTGCTCTTTCACTGGTGGCCTGCTGACTTTGGCCTGAATAAAACTCCACTGGTAACAAACTTAACTGCTTTTACAATGTCAACTAACATTACGATGCAGGATGTTAAGAATTTTCTTGTTTTTTGTATGGATGGGATTTTTGAAAGGGTTGAGGACCTACCTGGAAGATACTTCCTACCCACGATGGTGATTATTAGTTTCATAATCCATATAATTTTGCTAAAGAAATGGTTCAAAAATAGGGCAAAATATGACAAACTTATACAGGTCATACAGTCATTGCAAGATGGTTATGAAATCCTAGAACAAAAAATTCAGGAAATGGAAAATTCCTTGCAGGATAGTAAGGAAGATTTGGTAGAAAATATTCAGGATATTAAAAATGATAATGTAGGTCTGACAAACAGGTTTAAAGAGACAGAACATACAATTGAATTTCTTTCAGGAAAAATGTGTTCCATACCTATCGATTCAACACACAGAATAGAAAAAGTGGAATATAATGTTGAAACATTTAACCAACAAAACTGTTCCATGTTTGATGATTTCACTAGCAAACTACAAAGACTGGAATATAAGATTGAAAAGCTAACAGAAAAGATTTGTTCCATGTCTGAGAGCAATGACAAACTAGCTGATAGAACGTTATTTTTGGAAGGCAGTTTACATGCCATTGAGATACTTTCTAAGGATGAGGAATATTTGGAATCACGTGTAAATGATGACTGCAAAAGAAAATGAACGATTCCATGACGTCCTTAGAAAATTATTTGACCCAAGAACTTCAAGAGATCAGAGAAACAATGATGAATAGATTGCAGGTCTTAGAAGACCTCCAATCTGATACTTCAGAATCAGACATACAGGCAGCAAAGTCAGGACAGGGGTTTCCCCACACCTCTCAATGCCGGAAAGATCTCCCTAAGGTTGCTATGCCTTCACCTATGGTTTACCCAGTATCTGTATTTGAAAAACCATTAACAAAAAAGCACCCAAATGGTCCCATTGTTTATCAGTGGGAACCTGTACAGATGAAGGACCTAAAGGGAATCAAGGAGGCCATTGTTTAGTATGGTCTTCATTCTCCCTATATCAGAGAGTTCCTAACCTCATGGGCCATTGCAAATACAGTAACCCCAAGAGACTGGGCCCAATTAGCCTCGGCAGTGCTTGAGAATTCATGTCAAATTCAATGGAGAGCTTTATGGAGGCAAGAGGCGAAAGCCCTAGAGATTCATGAATTAAAGAATGGCTATGAAGCACCCCAAGACAAGATTCATGGGGAGGGTGCTTACGCTGACCTGCAGGTTCAGTCTGCATATGATGAGCACATGTTTTCTTTATGCTGTAGAGCTGCTTTGAATGCTTTGGATAAGGTTTGTGAAACAGGAGACATAATGCAACCCTATACCAAGGTAGTACAGGGTCCAAGGGAAAGGTTCACTGAATTTTTAGAGAGATTGTCCAGAGCAATAGAAGTACAAGTAACAAATCCAGAATCTAGGTGACTCCTTATAGAATCTTTGGCATATGAGAACGCAAATCCACAATGCAAGCAGGTACTTTGGCCATTAAAAATAAGATCAGTGGCATTGGAGGAATTGGTCCTATATGCAGCTAACCTTGAATGTAAAAGTCAGGGTACGGGAGCTTGGGTAGGTGAAGCGATTTCTACAGGCTTGAGGAGACACCAGGATGCCAAATACCCTACCTGTGACGATATAGACGCCTGGGTAGGGGAGGCAATCTCCAAAAATTTTAACAGATATAAAGATGACACTTGCTTTAACTGTGGTAAAATAGGACATCTGAGTAGGAACTGTAGACAACGCATTTCTAGAAATAATGCTTCTATCAGGAATGATTCGGACAGAAGGCCTCAGCCTTCCGGTCTCTGCAGGAGGTGTGGAAAGGAAGAACATTGGACCAAGGAATGTTGGTCGACTACAGATAGACAAGGTAGACCTTTACAGCTGGGAAACATAAACAGGGGCCTCAGAAGGCCCCGAAAATAAAGATTATCTGGTCATTCCCAGTAACAGTGGAGGACAGCCTCTCCCAGGAAATTAAAAGATCCACTGCCCATTGTAAATAATACGGCACTGGATAATACATTAGCTCCAAAGGATGAATCAATTATATCAAGAGGAAACACAAAACGTATATTTTGGCAAACTTCTATACAATATCATAGACCCAAGTTACCAGTTAAAGTAAATAATATGGTGATAATAGGCACGTCCCTGAATGAAATGACAGACTCTGAAAATCCCTCATGGAAGGCCTTACCCTCCCTGGGGAGCAGAAGGGGGATGGATTGGGATGGGGGATTCAGATGAATGGAGGGCTGGGGGAAGAGGGGAGGGAAAGGGAACTGAGAGTGACATATATAAAAAGTTAAATAAAATATATATTAAAAAACCAAAAACTAACCATCTCAGCTGGAGATCTACTGCAGTCAAGAGAACTTGTTCCTGTCTTGGGGGGAATTCCTGCCTTCTTTGAGTGTCCCTACCCCTGATGTGTTCAGTCTTTTTGGCAAAGTGTTTTCCATAGGTTTGCTCTCAGAGGCCCACTCTTGATGGACACTCACTTGCCGATCTAGATGTCAGAGCTGTCACACATTCTGGTAACCTCTCGCCTGATATCCCTAGGCTTGAAGAAAGTGTAGAGTTGCAACAGTAACTGGCAATTGCTCTCAGTTGGGTTCCTCTCACTACTGAGAATTCAGAACCTCTATTTTCACGTGCAAGTTGTCACTCTTGTGTAAATAAAAATCCACCATCTGGGTCTGTATACTCCATTCTCCGAGGTGGTGAGATAGAAGCCCGACTGAAGGATCCGCTGCCTTGTTGACAACAACCAAAAAATATACTAACACACAGCCATCAGGAAAATACTTGTTTCCTAGAATCATAAAATAAAATACCTAAGTTGATGGAGAACTACATTCAGCTATATTTTTCAATCAATTTGGACATAAATAGTAAATCTAAAATAGTTATAGGCTTATTTTTGTTTCATTGTTAATTATTTGTTTATTTTGAGGATTATGGATGGCTATTTGCTTTTCAGGTGTTCATCATGGGGTAAACAAAAGCTACAAGTGTTATTAAACACTGGGTCTTCAATTTAGCCCATGGGATATCTTCTTTTCTGTTTCGTTTATGGATGCAGAATGGCGAGGAAACAAGAATATCCCTTTTCCTGCCATATGCATTAACACTGTAGGTTATTGTCTGTAATTTTTTTAAAAGACCTCATGCTCAATATTTCTGTTCCTATTTGTAGTCTGTTGTCTCTTGATATTTCCAGCTTGCCTCTCCATGTTTGTCACCTCTTTTTAAAAGAATGTTTTTAATTCAAAGAGAATTAATCACTTCCCCTCCCTTTCCTCCCTCTAGCTTCTCCTAGCTATCCTACATTGAACCCTTCACATGCACCTTACTTTCAAGTTGGTAGCTCCTTTTGTCTTTGATAGTTTGTTACATCCATGTGTGTGTGTATGCACACATCACACACACACACACACACACACACACACACACACACACACACACACACTCTCACATACACAACCAGACAGGCTGAGTCCATTTCTTGTTTGGGGGTACATGGATCCAAAGCTGACTAGTCTGTATTAGACAACCAAATCACAGATGAAATCTTTTCTCCCAGACTCATGGGGATGCAGAAGTGTGCAGCTTGTCCTCATTACATCCTTTTAAGTTCATGATGTTTTCTTCTTTTCTTTCTCCCCTCTCAGTATTAGGCTTTGCTTCATGCCACACAAGCTGAATTTCTTTCTAGTCCTCTTTTGTTAACCCTTTTCTTTCATGAAATTTATTCTTTCTAAACTGTCATTCAGACTTTTTTCCTTTCATAATTTTTCTTTTTAATAACTTTTTTTTGTTTTCAGTACATTCTAAATGCATTTTTCCAGTCTTTCCCAGTCCCTCCTCCCACTCCTCCCAATCACATTTCCCTCTCTCCCCCAGATCCATTCTTTCTCTGTTTCCCTTCAGAAAAGGGCAGGCCTCCCAGGGGATACCAACCACATGAGGTGTATCATGGTGCCATAAGACTAGGCATAAATCCTCATATCAAGGCTGGATGGGGCAACCCAGCAATGAGAAAAGGGTCCCAAGAGCAGGCAGGAGAGTCAGAGTCAACCCCACTCCCACTGTTGGAGGTCCCATAAAGAAACACCAATTGAAACAACAATAACGTATATTCACAGGAACTACCACAGATCCACACAGGCTCTGCGATTGCCACTTCAGTCTCTGTTAATCCCTATGAGGCCTGCTTAGTTAATATCTATGGCCCATATTTTCCTGGTATCCTTGACTCATCTGCCTCCTACAATTCTTCATCCCCCTATTTTGAGGGGTTCCCTGAGATCCAAGATGAGGGACCAGGTAGAGATGTCCAATATGCACTCTCTCTACCTAATGTTCTATTGTGAGTCTCTGCAGCTGCTCCTACAAGCTGCCTTTGGAAACCTCTCTGATGATGATTGGACTAGGCACTGATCTGTGAGCAGATAAGAATGTCATCACAAGGAATCCTCCCTAGGGTCACCCTGTGGAATTTGGATGTTCTTGCTACACTAGGTTTTCCCATCATTCCCACATATGTCCTCCAATCCCTGGCATCTCTCCCCATATACTCTCCCTCCATTCCTCTCCATCACCTGATCCCTCCTGTTCATAATCCCACACACTCAAGTTCTCTGTTTCTGTTCAGAAAGGGTCAGGCTTCCCATGGGTGTGAACAAAGCATGGCATAGCAAGTTGTAATGGGATTAAGCACTCCTTGTATTGAGGATGGGCAAGACAACCCAGTATGAGGAATAGCTTCCCCAAAGCTAGTCAAAGCATTAGGGACAGCCCTTGCTCCCTCTGTTAGGAGTCCCACAGGTAGACCAGCATACATAACTATCACATATCTGTGGAGGGCCTAGGTTAGTCTTATGCAGGCTCCCTGCTTGTCTGGTTAGAACCTGTGAGTTCCTATGAACCCAGAGTAGCTGATTCTGTAGGTTTCTTCCAATGTCCTTGACCTTTCTGGCTCTTAAAATCCTTTCTCGCTCTCTTCAGTGGGATTCCCTGAGATTGGTATAATGTTTGGCTGTGTGTCTCTGCATCTGTTTCTACCAGTTACTCATGAGGGTTCCCTGATGACAGTAGTGGCATTCATCAATCTACGAGTACAGCATAATATTGTAAGGCCATCATATTTATAGTTCCCCCTCCAGTTGTGTTTGGTTCTATCCTAGGTCTCTGGGCCATCCAGCCTCTGGGTCCTGGTCACTCCAGGCAGTGTCAAGGGTGGACTCACTCTTATGGTGTGAGTCTTAGACTGGACCACTCATTTGTTGGCCACTGCCATAATCTGTGTGGCACTGTTAACTCAGCACATCCCATAGGAAGGATAGACTGTGGGTCAAAGATCATATGTCTGGGTTGGTTTCCAATCACTTCACTGGAAGTCTTTCCTGGTCACAGGAGATGGCCAGTGCCAGTATCGCTAGGAGTCTTAGTTGGGGTCATCCTTGTAGATTCCTAGGAGTATCTTTTGCACCAGGTTTCCACCAGGCCCAGAAATGTCCCTGTTTCCAGTCACTTCTGTCATTAATCCCTTCACCCACAATCCCCAAACTGATACCTCATTTTCCTGCCCCCAGTTCTCTCACAGGATTTATTCTATTTACCAATCAAAGGGAGATCCATGTTTCCACCATTGACCCCTCTTTGTCACCTGTCCTCTCTGTGGACTGCAGCGTGGTCATTCTTTACTACTAATATCCACTTACAAGTAAGTACATACCATGTTTGTAGCTGTCTTTCTTGGTCTGGGTTGCCTCACTCAGGATGTTTTTTTTAGTTCTATCTATTTGCTTTCAAATTTCATGATGTTATTTTTTAACAGCTGTGTAATTAATATTCAATTGTGTAAATGCACTACGTTTTCTTTATCCATTCTTCAGTTGAGGGACATTCAGGTTGTTCCCAAGTTCTAGCTATTAAAAATAAAGCTGCCTTGAACATAGTTGAGCAAGTGTTTTTGTGGTACGACTGAGCATTCCTTAGTATATGCCCAAGAGTGGTATATGTGGGTCTTGAGGTATATTGATTTTCCACTTTCTGAAAAAGTACCATATTGATTTCCAAAGTGGCTGTAAAATTTACACTCCCACCAGCAATGGAGGAGTATTTTCCTTGCTCTATATCCTCTCCAGCATAAGCTGTCAATTGTGCTTTTGGTCTTAGCCTTTCAGACAGGTGTAAAATGGACTCTCAGACTGGTTTTGAATGCATTTCCCTGGTGGCTAGGTTGTTGAACATTTATTTGAGTGTTTCTTGGGTATTCGATATACCTCTGTTGAGTATTCTGTGTGTATATCTGTAACCCATTTTAAATTGGATTATTTGTTTTTTTCATGTCTAGTTTCTTGAGTTCTTTGTATATTTTGGAAATCAGCCCTCTGTCAGATATGGAGTTGGTGAAGATTTTTTTCCCATTTTATTGGCTGCCATTTTGTCCTGTTGACAGTATCCTTTGCCTTACAGAAACTTTTCAGTTTCATCAGGTCCTATTTATTATTGATCTTCCTGTCTGAGCTACTGGTGTTCTATTCAGGAAGTTGTATCCTGTACCAATGCATTCAAGGCTATTTCCTTGGATCAGCCTAACCAATTTATTCTGAGTTCGTTGATCTACTTGTCTTCTTCTGCATTCAGATATCTAGTTATGCCAGCACTATTTGTTGAAGATGTTTTTTTTCTTTCATTGTATCATTTTGGCTTCTTTATAAAAAAATCAGGTGTTTATAGGTATGGATTTATGTCTGGGTCTTTGATTTGATTCTATTGATCCACGTGTCTGATTTTATGGCAACACTGTGCTATTTTTATTACTATAGTAGAGCTTGAAATCAGGTATGGTGATACCTCTGCAAGTTCTTTTATTGTAGAGGATTGTTTCAGCTATTCTGCTTTTTTCCATATGAAGCTGAGTATTGTTCTTTCAAGCTAAAGAATTGTGCTGGAATTTTGATGGGTATTGCACCAAATCTGTGGATTGATTTGGTAGGATAACCATTTTTATTCTGTCAATCCTACGTATCAAAGAGTATGGGAGATGTTTTTGTCTTGTGATATCTTCTTCAATTTATTTCTTCAAAAACTTGAAGTTGTATCATACAAGTCTTTCATTTGCTTGGTTAGAGTCACCTCAATATATTTTATATTGTTTGTGGTAATTGTGAAGCAAAGCATGTAGTTTCCATGATTTCTTTCTCAGCCTGTTTATTTTTGTCTAGTAGAGGGCTACTGAATGTTTTGAGATAAACTTGTATCTTGCCACTTCACTAAAGGTGGTTATCAGCTGTAGAAATTCCTTGGTAGAATTTTGGGGGTCACTTTTGAATACTATCATATCATGTATAAGTAATAATGCTTTCATCTCCTCCTTTCCAGTTTGTGCCCCATTAGTCTCCTTCAGTTGTCTTATTGCTCTAGCTACAACATTAAGTACTGTTTTGAATAAACATAGAGAGAGTGTCCAGCCTCGTCTTGTTCCTGGTTTTAGTGGTATTGTGTTGAGTTTTTCTCCATTCCATTGGTTATTGGCTGTGGGCTTGCTCTATGTTGCTTTTATTATGGCTAGATATGTTCCTTGTATCCCTGCTTTGATTATCATGTGTTTAGGGAACTTTTTTATGGTCCAGTTTATTTGGTATTCTACATGCTTCTTGTACATTTATAGGCATCTTCTCTTTAGGAAAATTTTCTTCTATGATTTTGTTGAAAATATTTTCTGGGCCTTTAAGCAAGAATACATTTCTGTCTTCTATTTCTATTTTTCTTATACGTTTGGTCTACTCATAGTGTTTCAGATTTCATGACTGTTTTGTATCAGAATTTTCTTAGATTTAAATTTTTCTTTGAGCTATTAACCTATTTCTTCTATCATGTCTTCAGCACCTGATATTGTCTCTTCCATCTCTATTATTCTGTTGGTGGTGGTTTTGTCTGTAGACCCTGTTCATTTACTTAGATTTTTATGGTCAGAATTTCCTCAATGTGTGTTTTTATTATTTCTATTTCCTTTCCAGGTCTTTGACAGTTTATTAATTTCTTATAGCTGTTTGGATTTTTCTTCATTTTCTTTAAGGGATTCATTAATTCTCTCCAATTTTCTTCCTTTTTTTAGATTTTTAAAAATTTAAGTTAGAACCAATCTTGTTTCACAGGTCAATCCTAGCTCCCTCTCCCTCCCCTACTCCCCCTCCCTCCCCAGCAGGTCCCCCAGTCCCCCACCCTATTTCTAGTCTGATCCCCAAGGAGGGTGAGGCACTCCATGGTGGATATCCAGTAACTGTCATTTCAACTAGGTCAGGGCCTAGGTCCTCCCTCCAAGAGTTCTGGCTGAGAAAGCCTCCCATATTGTGGCATGGGCACTCAACTTCTATTTGTACTCCAGGAATAAATACTACCCAAGGCCTCATAGATTACCTAGGCCTCCTAACTGACACCCACATTCAGGGGGTCTGGGTCAGCCCCATGCTTTCCACACAGCCATCAATCTGGAGTTCAAGAGCTCCCCTTGTTCAGGTCAGCTGTGTCTGTGGGCTAAACCAGCCCACTCTTAACTCCTTTGTCCATCAGTTCTCTTTCTGACACTGCATTCCAGGAGTTCAGTTCAGTGTTTGTCTGTGGGTATCTGCCTACGCTTTTATCAGTCGCTGTATGAAGCTTCTGTTTCAGAGACTCTCTGGCAGTGGGATTGTATGCTGGCACTCCCCTGATTCATGTCTAAAATCCATAAATGAGTGAGTACATACCACATTTTTCTTTTTGTGACTGGGTTACCTCACTCAGTATGGTTTCTTCTAGTGCTTTCAATTTGCCTGCAAATTTCAAGATTCCATTGTTTATTCCCGCTGAATAGTACTCCATTGTGTAAATTTACCACATTTTCTCTATTCACTCTTCAGTTGAGGGACATCTAGGTTGCTTCCAGGTTCTGGCTATGAACGTAGTGGAATAGACATCCTTGTTGTATGAATGTGCATCTTTTGGGTATATGCCTAAGAGTGGAATTGTTGGTAGACTGATTCCCATTTTCCTGAGGAATTTCCATACTGATTTCCAAAGTGGCAGTACAAGTCAGCACTCCCACCACCAGTGTAGGAGTGTTCCCCTTTCTCCATATCCTCTCTAGCATAAACTGTCATTGGAGGTTTTGATTTTAGCCATTCTGACAGGAGTAAGATGGTATCTCAGAGTTGTTTTGATTTGCATTTCCTGGGTGGCTAAGGATGTTGAGCACTTTCTCACATGTCTCTCAGCCATTTTAGACTCCCCTTATGAGAATTCTCGATTTAGTTCTGTACCCCGTTTTTTGATTGGATCCTTTGGTGTTTTGGAGACGTGCTTCTTGAGTTCTTTGTAAATTTTGGAGATCAGCCTTCTGTCAGATGTGGGGCTAGTGAATATCTTTTCCCATTCTGTGGGCTGCCTTTTTGTCTTGCTGACTGTGTCCTTTGCTTTACAGAAGCTTCTCAGTTTCAGGAGGTCCCATGTATTAATTGTCGATCTTAGCGTCTATATTACTGGAGTTATGTTCAGGAAGTGGTCTCCTGTACCAATTCTTTAAGGGATTCATTAATTCTCTCCAATTTTCTGTCTTCTTTTTCCTCAATTTCTTTTAGAAATTTATTTATTTCCTCTTTGAGGGTCACTATCACCTTCTAAGGTCTTTTTCTTGTATTTCAGATGCACTTGAATATTCAGAGCTTGTTTTAGTAGGATAGCTGGGCTCTGGTAGTAATGACATATTATCCTGGATGTTGTAGATTATATTCTCATGCTGGCCTCTGGGAATTTGGCTTTGGGGTCTAAGTGCCATCTTTTGAGCTTGTCTTAGTTAGATGGAGGTTTTCCCCCTTGGTTTCTGTTTCCTTTCTGGTTTTCTGACCAGAGTGTCCTCTGATTGAGCAAGAGGCCTCCATTTGAGTTGGGGGCTGGACTTCTTGTGTTCAGGCAGGGGTCTCCACTTATCTTGGGAGCTGGGATATGGTGACACAGAGAGGGTTGCGATTGAGAGTTAGGTGGGGAGGTCACTGAGAGAGCAGGGAAGTTCTACTGCTTGGTGGCCTAGCTAGACTACTGTTGGCTGGAGTGGTCTCTGGTAGAGCATGGTGTCAATTAATAGTTTATTGTTTCAAAACTTTAGGGAGTTACTGTGTTTTATTTAAAATCATGTAACATATCTACATGTGAGATTGAGTATACAAAAAGAATAAACCAAACAGTGTGTGAAAATATAGTATTTGTGAATACATGTCCTTAGACAATGTCTGAAAGGAGTGACGAAGGCTTCATGTCAGGATAAACATCAGTCTTACTCAGTTGTGAACCACACAAGCTACAATAATGACTGGCCTATATAGACATGCACACTCGGAGGAACAACCACTTTTGATTGGGTGTAAGTGCTGCTCCATAAGGTGAAACCCAATTCTGGTACCATTATTAGGCTAAAAACCTGTGGCTAGACACATCATAGGCTCTAGGTAAGACCTACTGCTAAATGGACATAGTATTAAATGCATTATCAATGACTTATCTTTATACCTATAGATTAAACAATATCTCAACTATTATTGGAAGAGCATCTATTTGCAGTATCTGGTGATTAACACAGATATCCGCAGTTGGTCAGCCTGCAGAGACTATAGTAAGACTGTGGAAGATTCAACCCTAAATGGGACATCCATGTGTAAAAGGGAACTAGTTTCTCATGCTCACAGATAGCACTAGAGAAATCAGTAATGTCATACTTTTCTCTTCGGTGGATGGTATTTAGATCTGTTTTTTACCCAGAAGGCTGGGAGTGGATATTATTAATAGTCTAGTGATCCTTTGCTGTAAGGACAGGCTTCACTGAATCCCCAGACTACTGTGTGTATCCCAGACTCCTGAGTATTGTTTATCCGTCAATAGAACAGTTCTTATAGAAGAGGTCCCATGTATCTTGCAAAAAGTCTATTCTTCAGCTTTTTACAGACCCTTTCTCCCCAGACCATTATCCTGAGCATTGCTCCTTGGTCAACAGAACCCACTCTTAAGGAAGAGGTCAGAGGTTCTCGGAAAAGGACATCTGCATTGCAACCGAGTTTCTATGTAGTCATGTTTTCAGCTTTGTTGTGATAGAAGTCACGAGGAAACTTTTCCCAAAGTTGTACTGTGCTTAACTATGTGAAAAATAAACTGCCCAGTATCAGACTCTTGGAGTAAGCTGTGTTAACTCAGCTTTCTTCTGGTCTCACATGGGTCATTCCTCTGCAGGAAAGCCCACGTCTGTGTCACACTTCTTCTCTGAGAGGCTCAGGATCAGTGTGGAAGAGAAGGAAGAAAGAGTGTAAGAACTAGAGGTGTTGGATAGCTACAAACAAACACGGTCTTCTGGACATGGGAGGGCAGTGGTTATGACGGAATTCACGAGAGCTGTGCAAGCTTCAGCCAGGTCAGATCCTAGGGTGGAGAGGAGGTGTGGACACCAAGCTCCACCTTTAGCCAAAGAGCTGCTGGCAATTGATAGCTGCTGGGACAGGAGAATCTGTTTTCTTTAAGAGTATAGCCCCGTTTGGTCAAACATACTCCACTGGAAGGTTATATATCCAAGAGTATATGGGATTTGATAGGGTAAAAATGAAAGCGACCACAAAGTTAAGTGAGTTGGGAAAGGGGCTTGTATCTGGGAGGAATTAGAAGAGGGGGTGAATAGGAGCAAAACATACTGTAAAAATTTCACAGAACTAGTCAAAATGTACATGCATGGAGTGAAAAAGTTTGCCATATAAAAAGGAAGAAAATGCTGGTGTGTGTGGTATAAGAGACTGAAACACATAGGGGCTGTGGGATAATGCTCGTGTATACTGTAAAGATGTGTCACTCATATTGATTTAATAAAATGCTGATTGCCGGTAGCCAGACAGGAAGTATAGGTAGAGCAACCAGACTAGGAAAATTCTGGGAAGAGGAAAGGAGAGATACAGTCACCAGCTAGACACAGAGAATGCCTTACTGAGAAAACCTACCAAGCCATTTGGCTAAACATAGGCAAGAATTATGAGTTAATACAAGTTATAAGAGCTAGATAGTAATAAGCCTGAGTAACAGACCAAACAGTTTATAATTAATATAAGTCTCTGTGTGATTATTTGGGACTAAATAGCTGTGGGACCAGGTAGGACAGAAGCTTCTGTCTACAAATGGTGCCCAGTGTTGGGCAACTACATCCGCATAAATCCAGAGAGAGCTTGGGAAGGGATTCTAAACATTAAGAAATAGAGGAAAGCATGGCTTCTTGGTAGCAGCATTTTTTCAGGTGGGCTCTGTTTGCTAGAGTCAAGCAAAGGCACAGCTCCTTTAAGAGATGGTTACTGACTCAGTATTAGTAGCCAAAACTGCACAACTCTTTTAAGAGGTCCTGCTACCAAACACTTAAATGGAGTTTATGAGCATCTTGTGCATATTTCTTGGTGGTGTCATGCACGAGAAACTCTGCAGAGTTGGGACAATAAAGATGGTTCCTTCCAGTACTTCTACCATGAAGCTAGACTCCCAGGAAGCCAAGGAATGGGGCAGTGCCAGCCTCCAAAGCTGCAGTGTTAATCCTAGCCATGCAGCTTAGCAGAATAAAGACTCGTGTGGTCACAAAATGATAGAGGTATACATAAAGAAAGATTAAGATTAAAGAAAAAAACAAAAAGAAAAAGAAAAAATCAACAGCAGCAAGAAAACCACTCTAAAATGTTTACAGTGTGTCTGAAAATACAAGTAGGCTTGGGATAGAAAAGAAAAAGGAGAGACAACATCCTTAGAAAACAAATAGAGTAGCTGCCCATGGTGGCATAAGCCTCTATTCCCAGCACTCAGGAGGCAGAGGCAGGCAGATCTCTGTGATTTGAAAGCCAGTCTGGGCAACAGAGTGAGTTCTGGGACAACCAAAGATACACAGAGAAACCCTGTGTACCTTAAAAAATAAAAATTAAAATAAGAGAAATAAAATAATAAAAAATGTTACGTAAAGATGGAAAATACACAGATAGTCTAGATACTGTATGTTGTTGTGTTTCTTTAAATTGTTTGACTGCTGAGAAAGGAGAAACAGCTGCTAAAAGATATTTGATTATAAATGCTGCTGGATTAATCTAACCTATATGTTTTGAAAATGCCTTGACTTTAAAATTTAAGTCAAAGGTATTTTACTTTGGATAAGATGTTTTGCTTTTGTTTCCACAGGAAATAAGATACTGTGGATTCATTCTGTGTTAAGAAAATTAAAGTTTTATTGAGGAAGACTCCTTGAAATATCTCCAAAGGGAACAGATGACCCAGATGGTCCAACATTTCAGAGTACCTCTGTTTCAGTTTCTCCTGAATTCTGCATCCAAAACAACTTCAAGGCTGCTGGTTGAGATGATCCAGCCTCACAGAATACTTCCCAGTTAATACTTGGCCATAATCCTAAATTTTCTTTGGCTCCCCAAAGGATTACCCGCACCCTCAATTTGCAGAATGTAACCTAGAAAACTACACCCACATTCCCAAAAATGGATTATGGATATTTGTCTTTGTTTATTGTGTTTGTTACAAGTTGTTATAGATAATGGTCAGGAACAAAAGCTAAACAAAGGAGATTAGATCTGGGGTTCATGTTTTGAAAAGAAAGAAAAATAATGCTCTTTTTCACTGTAAAGATTTGTCACCTGTATATATTTAATAAATCACTGATTGTCCATCACCCAGGCAGGAAGCATAAGTGGGGGCAACCAGACTAGGAGAATTCTGGGAAGAGGAAAGGAGAGACAAGCCACCCTGCTAGACACAGAGGAAGTAAGATGAGAATTCCTTACTGAGAAAAGTTACCAAGCTTGTGGCTAAACATACATAAGTATGGGTTAAAATGATTTGTAAGAGCCAGATAATAATAAACTTGAGCAATAGACCAAACAGTTCATAATTATTATAAACATCTGTGTGATTATTTGGGACTAAAAGGCTGCAGGACCAGGTGGGATAGAAACTGTACTACATTTCCTGTGAAAACAAACTCAGAAGCCAGATATACTGGCACACCCCTTTAATCTCAGCTGTTGGGAGACTGAGGTAGACAGAAATCTGCATGGGCTGCATTGTATCTGACCAATCAGGGTACATGACAAGACCCTGTCTCGCTAAACCAACCACAACAACTAAAGCCAATTCAATACCCAACATTACAAAGTCAGCGAATGACTGGCAGAGTGAATCTCCTACTGCAAACCTGTCTCATTTTTCCTTGCTGACTTTAGTCACTAGCTGTCTTGGTTGACTTCGTTTCCAGATGGTAGGACATGTTGGGGGTTGTGCTGTTAAATTGTTTTAAGCTGCCACTTGCTTGGAGAGCACTGAGTCCATAAGAAGATCATGTTGAAAAAAGGAGAAATTAGGATTAACAAGTAGAATCACAAAGTGGAAAATACTTACTCTAATAATTTATTTCTTTCATGTATCCCTATTGACACAGCATGAAATAGAATAGGCTGGAATTTAAGCCTACTTGTAAGTATATAGGTGGAACCTGAATTTGCCTTCCAAGCAAGAGTCTGCATTTGTTTTAGAAAAAACGTTTAATGAGATGCCAGATGTTATAGACAAAAGCAAAGAGTTCTGTAAAAGGAGATGGTGAACTTCCCCGTAATATATCATTAAACTTCCTTCTTATTGGTGTGGAGTGATATATCTGCTTACTTCTTTCAGGGAAAAAATATAATCATTTCTTGTAATTTTTATTGACAGAGTATAAAATTGCTCTCCCTCCATTATGATCTGGGCCTTCTCTCAATTGGAAGATACAAGCAAAGATTAGCCTGTCACTTAATTGTTGATATGGGAACTGAGCAGAGGTTAGTCCTCTCTGAAACCTCCTTGAGGAGCTGTAAGACCTCTGAGTGACAGGGGATGCTGGCAGGAAGGAGAGGAATAAAAGGACCAGCTACAGCCATCTGCTTCCCAGTCACTCTGTGACACACACAGCTTTCAATAAGTTAGTTTCCCCTAATACAAGTGGTGTGATCAGTGGTTGGTGAGCACCTGCTAGGTGGGTATATTAGGTTCTTTTCCCGGTGCTGTGTTAAAATACTCTGAAAAAGGCCACTTAAGGTAGAAAGAGTTTATTAGGTTCCAATTCAAGTTTAGAGTTCACCATGACCAGGAAGTCACAGTCTCAGATGTCTGGGAGAACTGGTCACATAGCATGCACTCAGAAACAAAGAGAAATGAATTAATGCCTGCATGATACTGCTCAGCTTGTCCTGTCCCTTTTATACAGTCTTCACTCCCTAACCCTGCCCAGGAAATCATGACAATCCCTCAGACGATCCTAGAAGCTCTCTTTAATCTAGTCAACCCTTCACAGATGTGCTCTGAGTCTTGGCTCCTAGGTGTTGAGCTGACAATAGCAATTATTAGAGTTGGGCACTAAAATTTTTTAAAGGAGGTAGATTTCAAGTGCTATAATGAAAAGTCTCCAAATTGCTTTCATTCCAAACCTAGCTTTCATTGTGGCCAGATTAGCGAGAACCAGGGCTGGCTTTATGAGTGACGAATAAAGATTCATAAGCTGCTATCACACTGATCACACGCCAAAGACCAACCAATGGAAGGCTCAAAGCTGTCAAAAGTTTACGTTTACTCCATGACTACTGACTATAAAGGAAAATGACAAGCACAGCCATTTTCTTTCTTCTGTTCCAATGTTTTAGGCTGATTAGAGCAAGCACTACAAGGCTAAAATAAATGATATTGAGGTGAAACGTTTCCTCATTGGTTGTCCTGAAATGGTGGGGTGCTGCCCAAAGCTTGGGTCACTCTGGAAGAACAGCAGTTTTATCTTATTCACTAGAAGTTACAAGGAACAAAGGCCCTGGACAGTGAGTTCTGTTCCTTCCCTGGAGTGTCTCCTTATCTTCTAGGGTGAACTGTTTATCTCCTGCTCCACTTAAGGTGTTAGCTTTCTCTCACTTCCCTCCTTCCATCCCTCTCCTCCTGGAAGCAGTCAAGTGTTCTGGAACATCTTTCCGGGTTCCACAGCCACCTCGTCCAACATGAACACACAGACACTATATTAAATATGAAACTGTTGGCTGATGACTAGGTCTTCTTATTGGCTAGCTCTGTTCTAATTATTAACCCATTTCTATTAATCCATGTATTTCCACGTGGTCTTATCTTACTGGAGAATGTCTCACTCACGACTTCTCTTCCCTGGGATCACATGATGACTCCTCTCTGCCTACACTTCCCAGAATTCTCCTCATCTACTAGACCCACCCATCTTGCTGCCATATTGGCCGCAGTGTTTTATTCATCAACCAGTAAGAGAAACATATGTGCAGAAGACATCCCCATCAGTCAAGATGGCAGGCTTCCTTGACCTGGTCTCTCTGATTCCCAATGAATTGTCCATGAGTTCTCTTCTGAGTCTGTCTTCAAAATGAGTTCTCTTCTGAGTCTGTCTTCAAATTCTCTTTTAATAACAAAAAGAACGTGCAGAGAGGACTTTGTTTCCAAGTGATATAAAGAGAGTTATGGCTTACTGAAGTTCTTTAAACTTTCTAATGGGGGAATGTCCTTCTGTATGCTGTGAGTATACATTTCTCTTATTGGCTGATGAATAAGTCTGTTTTGGCCACTGGACAGACAGAATTTAGCCAAGTGGGAAATTGAAACAGGGATAGAGAAACGTAGTAGGTGTAGCCAGGCAGACACCATGTAGCTGCCGAGGAAGCAAGAGACCCGGGCATTGCAGGTCAGCCAAGATAATGTAGAGATACGTAGATTAATAGAAATGGGTTAATAATTAAGAGAGAGCTAGCCAATAAGAAGCCAGAGCTATATGCCCAACAGTTTATAATTAATATAAGCTTCTGTGTGTTTATTTGGGAGTAAACTGCTGCAGGACCAGGCAGGATAGAAAGTGCCATCTACATCTTTCTTTATAAATTCTACTCCCTAGACTTGGCTGCCTTCTGAGGAACTTGGGTAAAAAACTACATCCACAGGATGCTTCAGAGAGCCTACTAACATGGAGAGGCAGAATACAGAGGAAGCAGGCAGTTAGGAATATTGGCAGCTGCACATCTGGCTTCCAGAGGATGTGTTTGTGGACTGTGCTAGCCCTTCCAGATTTGGTGGAAATAAGAACCCTGACAGGGCCCAGCATTATTGATGTCTGAAGTATCTATTTTACATTTAAGGTGATATAGAGACAGAACACTTATATGTGTATATAATATAATCTTCCATTTGCCTAATAAATGCCTCTTACCATGTATTTCATTTTATTGTACACAGGTAGCTTTAAAATTCTAAGCTTTGGAATGCTGTTTTGGGCTATTCTAGCTATTAGATATTTGCGAATGAACTTCTGGGATGCTATTCCTTGCACTAGAAATATGCTAGAAAGGGAACATACTGGTACGAGGAAGCCACCAATGAGGCAGGGACTGGGTGGCCAGAGAAAAGTTCCTGGTGGTGGAGACTCTGGAATAGAATTGTGAAGAACTAATCAGAATAACCATTGGAGCATGTTGGGTGAAAATAAGACAGCCTTGTAGGGAGAATTGCAAGCACCCAGAACAGGTTGAGCTGTACAAAGAGTAAAAATGTGTGTGTGGAAAAAAGAAGGCGGGAAAAGTCTACCTACCAAGGTGGCAAGAAAGGACAATGGGGAAGACGTAGAACGGAGTGAATTCAAACAAGAAAGTGCTTTGATTTTGTTCCTTTCCCCCTCTGCATTTCTAAGGTAAAGAGGTGGGAGAGGGATTGTGTGTGTACCTTTGCAAGTACTGGGGGATCAATGTAGAGTGAGGAGCAATGCATTTACTTCACACAGAAGCTTTTACTAATACCAAAATGAGGTGAGTGGACCCCTGTGGCTGCTTGAAGTCACAGTATCCTGCCTAGGCAATGCCTACACGTGCTCACACACACACACACACACACACACACACACACACACACACACACAGGTACAGGCACACAAACGTACAAGCACACATACACCCACATTACAGCTGACCCAGAGTAGAGGTCTGTGCAACTCTTTTGGAATAAAATTTATTTTCAATCTTGTTTGTGTAAGGAGACAGAGAGAGAGGGGGAGAGGGAGAGAGGGAGAGGAGAGAGGGAGAGAGGGAGAGAGGGAGAGAGGGAGAGAGGGAGAGAGGGAGAGAGGGAGAGAGAGGAGAGAGAGAGAGAGAGAGAGAGAGAGAGAGAGAGAGAGAGAGAGAGAGAGAGAGAGAGCAAGCACGGGAGCATGTGCACACAGGTATCAGTGGTGACCAGAAAGGCGTTAGATCCCCTCATGCTCAACTTAGGTTGTTGTGAGCCACCTGATGTTGGTGGTAGGAACTGAACTCAGGTCCTCTGCTAGAGCAGCATGTGCTCTAAACTGCTGAGCTCTCTCTCCAGCACTACTTTCAAATATTCTTCTCAGTTAAATGTCTGGTTTCATAGTGAAGAAATAATTCAGAAAAGTGATTTAATTTACACAGACTTTATTGACCATTTAGAGTATTACTCATA